AAGTACCCCCCTTTCGAACAAAAAAGAATCATTGAAATCGGACACCGTGTTAAAGAATAATCGCTGGACATACATAAAAAAAATATTGCTACGAATTGAGAACCTCCTCCTTTTTTGAAGTCTGTTAAAAAGGGAGCACTTTAGGATAGTTTAGAGTGTTTAGACACTAACGGGTAATCATCTCCAACCCAAAATTCATTGAGTGTCACAGATACGAATATGTGTTCTAAAGAAAATGAACTTCGAAATTATATTAGTGATTAGCAAGAATGGTGTTGCAGAGGTTTCTTTTGTTTACAAACGCGTTTTGTATCCCGTCAATATTTGAGAAATATTCTGACAATGATGATTCTTTTAGAAAATGCAGTTATGTTTTTTATGTTCATTCTCGAAGTTTAGTCTTCCTTTCAAAGCAGTTATTTTGTGTCTCAGTGAATGATTTTATTGCTTTTCCCTATAGAGACTTCGTTAAGTATTCCGAAAATTTCGTCTCTGTAAGCTAGTTTCATTTGCCACTGCTCTTCACACAAAACATCGAAGATCGTAATGCTCCTTTTACACGTGCCGGATACAGTATATACAACGCGATATCCGGCTTCAAAGTACATACGAAACATTGACGTGTTTACACATACACAGTTTTTGTCTATACCGGATACACACCGGACAACATGTCGACCTTCATTCGGCGCCGGCCAACGGATATACGTTCACATATGTCTAGACAAAAGTCGTTCGGTCACCCTTGAAACATGGAAAATAGAGGTGAAGCAGTGAAAATGTCACGTGTGGCTACAGACATTGAAAAACATAAGTTCCATAATAAAAGTATACTGCCAACTCGACTCTAGGATTCAACGGTATGTCGGATACGTCTGAACACAATAACATTGCCGGATATCAGGCATCATATATCCGGCATGTGTGAAATGAGTGTAATAGATGTAAGTCCTATTTCTCAGAATGACAACTCGTTCATGATGCTCGTGTGCGGTCAGAATTTAACTGCAACAAATTCATGTCCTTTTCTTTCAGGTATGCGTGGCTTGTTTGAAAGTGTGGTTTTACTAACTGGCCAAACCCTTAATCTTCCGCGGAAAACACTGCTGTAGATCATATGAATAGGAATTGAGCCTTCTTTGCAAGTTGAACACTATACTTTTTCTACGGCTGTAATAAATTGCTGTTAGTGTAAAAATAATTCACAAATCATTCCAAACATTCAAATAAATATTATGGATCAAATTGTATGTAAGAATTTTACGTTAAATCTTCATATTTATAGATTATTAATGAAACAGCATGTGGAGTAGCTATCGACTTTTTACGGTCAAACTTGCTGTGCCTGGTAGTTTTAATTTGTTTCATTTAAAAATTGCATATTGCATAGGACACAAAATATTATTATACAAAAACAAATTAGGTACGTAGCGGACCTGTTATTTGCCACTTCACAGGTATCTCTTTGGTCACCTTTTCTACAAAAGCCGTATTTAACAATATGTTGCTTGACATTGAACTATGTATTGTACCTACATCATTTCGTTAATATTATGTAATTTTTTACATTCTGCATTAATGAATGATTATGTATGTAAATTATTTTATATATTTATGATTTTCAAGTGGCCATTAAAAATAGAATTTAGTTCATGTTTATTTTTACAATGGTCTACTGTTTAACTTTATGGAGTGTTAATAATACCAAAATATTGCTTCCATTATATTGTTGATCTTGGATATATATGTTTTGATTATAGCAGATATCGTCTTTGGTAATTTTCGTTGAATGATTTCTGTATGCACCTTGTTGAAAGTATAAAAAGTTTTTACTGGTGTGGACAATTACCGCAGGTCCATTATCAATTAAGAAAACCGGAAATGATGGAAATTAATTGCTGCAAATCATGATTATAAAATGCAAATGAATATGTTCGTTTTTTTTTTTTTTTTATTCACTTTTGACTTTTAAACAGACATTTTCTTTTAGCTACAATAAATATAATGGCGCATTAATGATGATGCATACATTGCACAGGACGGTATAACCAAAATTGAGTTCATTATTTATTTACAAAGGTAATAATAAATAAAAACATATTTTAATACAAAATATCAGTGGTTTAGCGCACATATGTGTTAAGTAATATTTTGATAATTATTCACACTTTAACTTTACCTAATGGTTTGAAACTATAGCTCTCTGTTATTTCACTTGAAATGTATCTACCAAATCCTTTTCACACTTCTTCGTTGTTTCTGATTAGATAATAAAGCAAAATAAAGATACATTATTTGTACATGTTAGATTATATTAATGATTAAATCAAATAATTATTTAGTTACCATGTAATTATCGATAGAATATAATGCGTGAGAATCAGCCAACAGCAACAGCTGATCACACAAGACACTCAAGGCGACCCAAATCGTTCTGTCTGGAGGAGCGCCGACGGTACTCTGCTACCGCATCAGTTCCCCGCACTCTCCGCTCTTAACTGCCAATGTTCTATACAGTACTATAGTTAGCAAAATGTTGATATATAAATATCACAAACACAAAACAGTTCGTTATTGGCGGGAACTGTTTGATAGGTGTCAATCAAAAGACATAGCTCTGTGATAATCTGCGCAACAAGCAATAACTCCCGTGGGGCCTGGGGGAGGACAATTGGTCAACACTACCGATGACCGAAATAACAAAACAATAGCATAAATTTCACAATCATGTTTTTTTTTTTATTAAATTTAGTCCTCCATAATCGGGTAGCATACCCAAAATATTAGTATGCTATAACAAAATCAACAATAAATAGAGTTTAAAAAAATTAAAAACACGCATTTAGAGCATATCAAACTAAAAAGTTAAAAATAATTTTTCAAATAAGCTTAAAACAATAATAAATCGAAAATACTAGTATTATTGTGAAAAAAGCGTCGGGCGCTCGATGTACGAGAAATATGGACAAAGCGTCCCACGCTTTTTTCACAATACTAGTATTTTCCATTTATTATTGTTTTAAGCTTATTTGAAAAATTATTTTTAACTTTTTAGTTTGATATGCATAAAAAGCGTGTTTTTTAGTTTTTTAAAACTATATTTATTTTTCACTATTTAGTTCTATGTATTATAAAAGCGTGTTTTTTAATTTTCTTAAACTATATTTATTAAACTATTGAGCTCTCCGCCTACGGCGTCGTGTAATATGGCCATCATATCCACTCTTGTTGCGATCTCATTAAATCCATTATACATGGTGCGGAAAAAAGTGAAAAATATTGTAACATATCTTTCTTATTGTTGATTAAAGAAAAAAATTAATAATAATCTTCCTATAATTCACCCCTTTACGAGTGAAGGTAACATTTGGGAAAACGAGACCGAGTAACATGACAGGCAGCAAGCAGCAAATACTGCCGTGTTAAAAGTGCGTCGCCACTTTTTTTTTAATCGGTTGCGCTGTCCCAAATGTTTTTCATATAATTAACATGTGTTCAGAGGTGAAGAGGCCGTTTTCGGTCGCTTTACGCCTGTCGTCTTACTTGGTCTTGCCTATGAAACTCCCAAATCAGAGCTTGTATTATTATTTAATTTTTTGCCGCGGCGCTTCGGGTCGTCTTAAGTTACGTTTTCCTAGCTGCGTCAAGCACTAGCCCAAAACGCCCGCGGTGTAATACGCAGGGCGATTCACGTAGTGTGGGTTGCGTGCACAGTATTTTAAAACATGGCTGCATGGCTCACCCTGTATAAAAAGTACACATAGCGAAATCTTTTAACTTTAAAATTGTTAACGGGTAGATATTAAGATAATGAAATAATTTATCTGTGGCGCAACTGTATAATTATTCAGTGTTTGCAAAAATATATTGTGATTTATTCGTGAATCACCCTGTAACAGTAAATATTTTAAAATGTCCTTTTTTATAAACATTGACCAAAAATTATATTAAACTTTTATATACATTAAGTCAATCTATCGTTTCAGTTTGAAGAAAAAATAACTAAAATCAGCAATTCTCCACTTTAACGCCCTGTATCTCGAAAACTAGTCATAGTATTGGATTTAAAATTCATACTTCCTAAAACGACATTAAAATTATTATATATATATATATATATATTAAGAAAATGGTTACATTTGACGTGGGAAATTTTAGAATACAGGGTGTTCGTAGTTTTTGTACTTTTCTTAATATAAAATGCCTTTCAACAAATAAATCACCTTGTATGTTTTGAAGATTCAAGGTAGATATATTTTAGTGATCTTACCTTTCCCAAAATTCAACTCATAAGTACAGGGTTTTGAATTAATCGTTAAAAAAAAAAAATATGTTGTGGTTCTCTCTATAAAACACCCTGTATAATAAATATGTACTGTGCAATATTTTGTCGTCAAAATACCATATTGAGTAGTACTTTTTGAAAATATGCTTCTCTGACCGTATAGTAGAATTAGTGTGATTTTACAAAAAATTACCGTTATACATTTGTGAATCGCCCTCTAATTATACACATTTTAAATTGAACGTATGTACTAATGTGTTTCTAAAACTCATAGTAAACCTGTGTATGCATCAGAAATTCAATCTAGCTCGTAAGTTTGCAAATAAAAATTCCCAAAAACTGGCCAATTTTCAACTTTAACACCCCACCCCGTATATCGAAAACTAGTCATAGGATTGAGTTGGGCCCATTGACACTTTTGGTTACTAGGTTGACTACAACAACATACCAGAGTTTCAGAAAATTTGACGGGTTGCATAAAAAAAGTGCGGGGTCCTTTAATAAATCTATGAAAAATTCGAAACTAATAAAAACATACCAGCCATTGTTTTTCTAATTTTATAACATGATGACTTACGTAGCAGAAAAATTGAGATCCATTCAACTCAATTTTACATATGACGACCATCGAGGCATTTGTCTGAAATTAAAAAAAAAAGAACAGTAATCGTGGATTAAATATTCAAAAATACATGTATCCCTCTCTTCTTTTCAGATTTCATCAGGTAACCTGACCGGAAGTACTAACGTCGCTCGCCTAATAAACATAAGTGCATCAAGGGTAGGCCAAACATCTCCCCTAAGGCCGAGCCTGGCCAACCAGTCTATTGTAAATGTCTTAACAAAGTCTCGGCCGAATTCAAATGTACGCTTACAACTGTTTCCATCCGGAGAAAGTTCAGGAAATAATGTACAACAGCACAGCTCTCACGCGAGGTCTCTCAAAAGACCGTCGTCTTCCACCGGCGAAAAGAAAGATAGTTACGCCACCAAGTTACAGCATGTCATGAACTATCGCATAGTACGGTCCAAATTAGTGAAGGAAAAATATAACGAACATTTGCTAGAGACGTACTATTTGGAAACGGGAAACAACATATTAGATTTGTACCAATTTGCCAAAAGACCTAAAACTCAGGCGTATCTAGCGTACCTCAAAGAACACGCCATAGATCCTAGAGATTACCCAGAACTCTCCTGCAGCGTGAACGTCCCACAAACAACACCCAGTACACCATCTGCTACCTCAGCTAGTTCTCTACCGGGTATCTCGCATACCTACTCTATCCAGACTAGTAGTTCAACTGTAACGACACCAGAAAGTCATAGTAACACTTCAACACCTAAATCGACAACTGTCAAAATGAAGTCTGCATCTCACAGTAGTAGTGCTAGTCAGGAAATGATAGTAGAAAAGGCCAAACAAGAGGCTTACGTAGTTCAACGAATATCTGATTTGCAGAAGGATGGTTTATGGTCGGAAAAAAGATTGCCAAAAGTGCAAGAAATGCCGCGGACGAAGGCCCATTGGGATTTTTTACTCGAAGAAATGGTCTGGTTGGCAGCTGATTTTGCGCAGGAACGCAAATGGAAGAAAGCCGCTGCTAAAAAGTGCGCCAGAATGGTTCAGAAATACTTCCAAGACAAAGCACTAGCAGCTCAACGTGCAGAGAAAGCACACGAGCAGAACCTCAGAAGAATAGCCGCTTTCTGCGCAAAAGAAGTTAAGAATTTCTGGAATAACGTCGAAAAACTAGTTGAGTATAAACAGAATACCATTCTCGAAGAGAAACGGAAGAAGGCTCTAGATCAGCAACTTAGTTTCATCGTTGATCAAACGGAGAAGTATTCACAATTGCTGGCTGAAGGGATGAATAAAACCGCTGAACAACCTCCTAGTTCAGCACCATCGCGGTCGGTATCGCGAGCACCTTCAGACACCGAATTCGATCCGGATCTTCAGAGCGACGAGGACGACGAAGAGACCATAGCGCAAGAAGAAGCAGCGCTAGGTAATGCCGGACAGAAGGAGGAAATCGAAGCGCTTCAAAAAGAATCTCAGATGGATTTGGACGATTTACTGGAGGACGACTTATTGAGAAATTACCTTTTGAATCGCGACAACATCCGGTTGAGCGAATCGGAAGACTCCGACGACGAGGTGGATTCTAAAAAAGGAGGCACCTCTAAGGCGGACGACGAATCTGATGCCTCTGAATCCTCCAAAGAGGAAGAAGAGTGCGAAGATTCGGAGGAGGAAAGCGAAGATGAAACAAAAGTCACGGAATCTACGACTCAGGGTGAACACGAGGAACTCAAATTGTTAGTTGCAGATTCTCAAAAAGAGGGAGATATGAAGACTGAAACCGATACAAAAGACGACCTTATCAACGACGCGGCTGCTATAGCTGAGAGTATTCAGCCAAAAGGAAATACTTTATCTTCTACTAATGTAAGTTTTTTTTTTTTAATATAACTAACAATATAATTTTCCATACCGCTTTAACCTTTGCTTATGTGTCTCTATTTCAATTTAAATGATATTTTAATTTTATAAACGGAAAATTATTTTAGGCAAAATAAATAAGAGTTTTTTGCATTTCAGACTCTGCTGCTTTTAAATATTAGTAATACAGTGCACCTCATATATATTTTCTCCTATTAACTCGTTTGTGTCAAGTTTAGAGGAATTCCTCAAAGTGCATTTCTGTTTTACAAATTTTAACATTTTAAATTGTAAGGATGGCCCAGTGACAGCTTATTTGAAAGGGTTCTTAATCGTTTATTATCTGTTTACGTATGACTAATTTATAATTTTCTACATTTTAAAATTGAATTTCTAATGAAACGAAATTTAATTTCTTTACGCCGTTAATAGTCCAATCAAATAGACCTTTTGGAGGAAATACAGGAATTTTTCATATGTCACTTTAGAGTATTTGAAAACGATATGTAAAAAAATTGTTTTTCAGGCTCCGGCAAGTGGTGAAAAACAAGAAAATAAAGTGTTTTTGGTTATTTAAAAACGGTAGGTGCTATAAAAAAAAGTTCTTAATAAAAATTGAAAAGAATAAAATTTTTACATAAAATTGATTTTTGCTATTAATATTTAGAGGGGTTAGAAGTTAAGAGAAGATATATATAACTTAAAAAATCATAGCGAGCTAAAAATTCAATGATTTTTTAGTTTCTTTTTATTATTTACTCAGAAAAATATAAATTTTCTTTTCAGAAAAATTAGTTTTTTATTTGTTTTTTTTTTTAACAAATTTAATTTATAAATTTTCAATATATATGTATATACGACTTTATATGGTAAAATAAATTTTGAAGTCTGACATGAAAAATATGAGGAGTGAACTAACAAAAACGACATCGCGACAATTTAGACCCCACTTGAAGTTTCATTAAATAAATTAAAACAAAAAAAAAATAAAAAAATAAAAAATAAAGATAAATAAAAAAAATTACATTAAGAAAAATAAATATATAAGTAAAATTAACCAAAAATACATTAAAAAATAAAAGAAAATAAATAAAATTAAATACAATTAAATAAAATTGAATAAATAAAAAATATAAAAATAAATAAAAGAAGAAAATAAATAAAAGTAAATAAAAATCAATCAAAATAATTAAAAATAAAAAAATTAAAAACTAATATAAAAATTAGACAAAAATAATTAAAAATAAATAAAACAATTATAAATAAATATTTATTTCTATATCTATTTTTTAATTTTATCCTTTTTTTTTAATTTATGTTTATTAGTTTAATTACCTATTTTTATATATTTCGTTATTGCTATTTTTTATTTTTCTTTTTTCAATTTTATTTTCTAATTATTTTTATTTACTTAACGGAACTTCAAAAAACTAACGCGATGTCGTTTTTATTAGTTCACTCTTCATATTTTTCATGTCTGAAAAGAAGTTTATATTTTTTAGAGTAAATAATAATAATAAAAAAAAACTTAAAATCGTTGAATTTTTAGCTCGCTATGATTTTTTAAGTCATATATTTCTTCTCTTAACTTCTAACCACCTTAACTCTGTTAGTTTTAATAATATCAAAAAATGCCTAATACCATTTTTATGTAATACTTTATGCTTTACAATATTTATTAAGAACTTTTTTATTAAAACGGTAGGTTTTTAAATAACCTTAAAAAATCACTTTTTTTTTGCCATTTGCCGGGTCCTGAAAAACAAAATGTTTTCACATATCTTTTCAAATACTCGAAAGAGACTTATGTCAAAATGTCCTCCAAAATTTGATCTAAAGGTCTATTTGATTGGACTATAAAACAATAATTGTCGAAGTTAAAGATTGGGTAATGAAATATTTTAATGTTCCTTCTGCTGAGTAATAATTTTTATGAGATAAATAATGGAATAATAGCTGCCTACCGAAATACTGTAGTTACTTCAGCAGTCACGGAAATGAGTATACATATATACTTTCCTACCATATAAAAACTATGTCTACTTGCTGGCGGGGGCGGGTTATTCTTTAAGTTTACATTTTTTCGATTTCTTATCAGTAAAACATACAAATATTAAACATATAAGAGATTAATTTGTCTTTTATGATAAAAAGTGAGTACATACCTATATAATTTTCACATAAAAATTTTAAATCAAAGAAAAGCAGAACTCTGCATTTTATATTACAGAAATTTGTAATAAAATAAACAACACTGTAAAATACGGGTTTTGACTAGTTTACAGTAAATATTATATTTAGAAATAAACAAATTTACTTACACTAGAAGCTTTAAGAAGATTTGATTAATTTCTCCTTGTGTTTTCTTTATTTTTATATCTGATTTATATCCCGTTTTATAACCTGGAACGAAGTAAATCTGGCTTTGATGATTTTTTTTACTCATGTTACTTGTAGTCAGGTTCTGTTTTTCACTGTATTTGATTATTTTCACCAATTAAAAAAGCACTTTATTTCACATTGACTTACATAGAAAATTAATGTCAACCCGCCAGCTATAGTCAATTTGACAAACTTTATAAAAGGAAGGACGGAAATTTTAAATTTATCCATTGTCGATTCGCCTCGTTCCCATTGTCGATTCGCCTCGTCTAGTCTTCATAGTTATAATTTCAGAACTGTTAAATTTATCAGCGCCACGCCTATTTGATCTTAAACGACAGCGAAAGTACTCGAAATGACGCTGTCAACTGAAATCATCTGTTAAATTTAGTTAATCATGATGACTTGAGACTAAAAGTACTGGCCCTTAATGTATAAACATTGGTCTCACGCCAAGCTTATACCAGTATTTGCATACTCTTTTGTATAATGAATCTGATATCTGCAACTACTATTGAACAGAAAAACTCTACAACATTCAAATTTTTGTTGTATTTTAATTTAAATCGCATGTTCACATTTATTTAATATAAATTTTATTGACGAGGTATTTTTTATTTAGGCTTACATTTGTATTAAAATAGCTTTAAACTTATTAAATCTACAATTTATAGTTACAATAAATATCATTTCAATGATAATTACATTCACTTTCTTTTTAATCTGTGAATAATTTTACAAAAAGCAGGTAATGTGAACGCTTATTGTTAAAAACCCTATTTTTCAAATGTTTGTTCTTTGTTCTCAATTACTTCTGTTTACAGGTCGTTCACAATTGCCTCAATATCTACAAAACTCAAATAGTGGTTTTGTAAAAATTTAAATAATCGGTTTAATTTCAAGAACCCTATTTAATGTGATTATATAAAATTTTGTACATAAAGAAATTATGGTGACAGAGTGGCTTATGAACAAAAAAAAAATGTATTGTACAAACTTATTTTCTAATCTTTACATTAAAAAGTATTATGTGCTTCATAAGATAGATTCAGAAAAAGGCTTGGCTAAAATAATTTTTAGTTTCGTTTTATGATTTCTTTAATTTTCTTTGAATCATTATTTTTTATGTTGACTAAAATCTGGTTTTGTACCTAAGCCTTTAATTTCGGCAAGAAAATATTGCTTAATTTTAGAGTGGTTTTATATTTTTATTTTGAGTGTATAGAAAATTGAGAAAAAATTATTATTATCTGACATTCGACTAGCCTACACAAATCATTTTAAACTTTTAAAATCTTTTGAGATTGTAAGTGGTGAAAATACACACCTCATAAAAATTATCGCATCACTAAAATTTTTGCAAATGTTTGAAGTTATTTTTTTTTCTGAAACGTTTGATCGATTTGGATGATAGGTTGGATTGATTCTTTAGGAATAATAATCTCTATGATTCTTTAAATAAAATTCAATTTTTGAGTGAATACCGGGTGTTGGCATAATATAGGTTTTTGGTTGTAAATTTCGTAACGCCCTGAGGAGTGTACCAGCAGTAATAGCGTGTTATAATTAATAGCCCCATCTTTTCGCAAAATTTTGTTTTTTGTTCGTTAAATTATCTCTGTTATTAGAGATGATATGGCAACAAAAAACAACACTATAACAATAATGTTTATTGAATCATTAACTAAACAAAATTAATTTTAGAAGCCTAATTTGATATACAATATTTTTCAATACTGTGTGTTGCCTCCTCTCGCTATAATTACAGCTTGCATTCGTCTTGGCATCCCTTTAAACAGGTTGTGTGTATAATAGTCTTTGTCCATATTGTTCCAAAATATATCCAATTTATTTTGAACATCATTCTGTGTTCTACATGGAAGGGTTGGTTACCCGACAGCACTTATGCCTCACTAGCTCCATTGTAAATCCTCCTAAAATGATAAGCACCTCCTAGCTCGTGAGCTAGGCAGCCTAAAAATTTGATGTAGTTGACCAAGAGGTACTTCTCTTATATCAGCCTCTGTTAGCCAATTCTCGCCGAACGTAAATCTTCTAATTAATGACAATCGTAGAGGATATGCTCGATGGTCCCATCTTCTTGTTCGCACCTCCTGCAGAGTGAGGACTCCATGATATGGAGATGCTTCCATACTCGACAATGACCAGTCAAATTGCCTGTGATCAGGAGCAAATTCTGTCTAGTCATAGTCAAGTAATAGTTTGCTGTAGTGTTGTCAGGATAACTTAAAAGCTCACTGGCAACTTTGTAGCTTCATGGAATTTCACAAGGCAATGTTCTTTAATTAGGTTTTGTCAACACCGAATCAGCAAGAAGGTTACCTTTCAAAGAAAGGTGATCTTAAGGTAACCATATTGTTGATGAATACTTTGGCCAAAGTTTCTTTTGCTGCTATTAGAATCTCCTAAGCTCCGTTTGAACTACACTTGCACTATTACTCACACCCCATTTTTAGGTTTAAGATTCTGGAGTATACTCCACATTATGAACCTTGTTTTGTTTCAGAACCGTCGGTGTAGATATGAATCCTATCTGTCACTTCTGACTCTTCTATTTGTTTCATTATAACTTTATATGGCTTATGGAAGATAAAACATTTTTT